GTGTGTATATATATATATATATATATATATATATATAATTATTTCGTTTAACCATACGACAAACGGAACTTAATTTTTGTTATCAGGAATATTTGTTGTCAATGTATTGTGCATCGGAATGTGTTCTTAATTTAAAGAATTCATAACTTTAAAACAAGCTGTGCAAATTTTTAAGGGATTTTAACGATATTCACCTCCTTTTCCGTTATCAAATTCTAATCACTTAAAGACCATAATCAGTTTGTACTTCAAGTATCAAAAACTGATAAAGAACGTTTTAAAATGGAAAGCAATCTACTATACAAAATCCTTGTTCCATGAAATCTAGAAATTAAACGGAATCTTAACCTGTTGTTGGATTAGAAGCTGCTCTAACATAGGATGACAAAAAGTAGCATTCAATTTACGTGTATAAATACAAAAATACTGTCTATGTTTTAGTGTAATTTTCAGTAGAAGCTTGCGAAGCTTCTCGAAGCTTCTGGTAGGGCCTGATGTTTAGGGCTCTCCACTCGCAATCTGCGGGTCGTGAGTTCGAATCCCAGTCAGTGAACGTGTTCGTCCTTTCAGCCGTGGGGCGTCATAATGTGACGATCAATCCCACTATTTGTTAGGAAAAAAATAGCCCAAGAATTGAGGGTGGGTAGTGTTAATTAGCTGACTTCCCTCTAGTCAATTACTGCTAAATTAAGGACGGCTAGCGCAGATAACCCTCGACTAGCTTTGCGCGAAATTCAAAACAAATCATACCAAACCTTAAATCTCGAAGACTCTCTAAATATTCCCCTTGTATTTTCTTTAATCTGCTGTTATTAAGAAACACGAATTAGGAATAATAGAATTTCTTCCTGTATCATACCGGTCGCAACTGATATTATCAGGATATTTCCTATTCAAGAAATTATCAAACTGTCAACAAAGAACATTTTACATCAATGTCAAGAAGGAAAGAAACTAAAACAGCCATTAGGCACGACTTGTCTGTTTGCCTCTAATAACCAAAATCCATTATGTAAATTACCTAGTAATCTTACCACAACTTGACCTGACTGAGAGGTACTTTCTAATGACATAATCGATTAACGGCGATGTATTTGCAATTAGTTCCTTAATTAGAAAAGTTACAATTCAAAGTATTTTATCTTGCCGCCACGTAAAATACCTGGAATAGTGATAAATAGAAAATTCGAGAGCATCTTCAACGTGATTGAAAGGAACCAGCATCAAAAGGGGTTTTAGTCTTGTCGGTATCTGTGAATAGAACGTTTATTCGTCATCTTCAACAAACCTTGTTATATCTTACAAGTATCTCCTTTCCAGATGTGAGTATTCTCTGTTAACGTGGTAGTGAAGGATATAGTTACATTACACAGAGTATAACTGGGACAATATGATTTTATCACCTAGATCAAGTATCGGACAATAAGGTTATGTTAAACAGAGTATGACTGGGACAGTATGATTTTATCACCTAGATCAAGTATCGGACAATAAGGTTATGTTACACAGAGTATGACTGGGACAATATGATTTTATCACCTAGATCAAGTATCGGACAATAAGGCTACATTACACAGAGTATCACTGGGACAATATGATTTTATCACCTAGATCAAGTATCGGACAATAAGGTTACATTACACAGAGTATAACTGGGACAATATGATTTTATCACCTAGATCAAGTATCGGACAATAAGGTTATGTTACACAGAGTATGACTGGGACAATATGATTTTATCACCTAGATCAAGTATCGGACAATAAGGTTATGTTACACAGAGTATGACTGGGACAATATGATTTTATCACCTAGATCAAGTATCGGACAATAAGGTTATGTTACACAGAGTATGGCTGGGACAATATGATTTTATCACCTAGATCAAGTATCGGACAATAAGGTTACATTACACAGAGTATAACTGGGACAATATAATTTTTATCACCTAGATCAAGTATCGGACAATAAGGTTACATTACACAGAGTATAACTGGGACAATATAATTTTTATCACCTAGATCAAGTATCGGACAATAAG